CAGCACTCTTTTGCGCTCCCTTCTGATTGGTGGCCAGAAAAAAAAAGCCCTGTATACCAGGGAAATGTAAATTAGGAGTCTGTAAGCCATGTCTCTCTCATTAACGTCCTCAAGATACTCTGCTTAGAAAGAACAAATACTTTTTGTGAAATATAAATTAGGAACTCTGAATCCTGAGTTAAGAAAAGGGGGTTTGACTGGGGAGCTGGAAGCTTGGATTAGAGAGAGCTCTATGTTGGTGTCCCAGGACTCTGATTCTAGAGAGCTCTGCCTTGAATCTCAAGGAACAGTGCCTCTTTAGTGAGATATATGGCTTCATAATTAGCCTCTTGCATTTTTTTCATGAGTGCTAGCATCAGCGTTCTACAATGTGTTTCCCTGATTAACAGCTGCTTTGCAACTATTTCCTTGTGCCACCGATGACCATATTTGTCAAGTTTGTCCTGACAGAGCACTGATTTCTTACTAAAATGCAGCATTTCTGTTTGAAGGGATTCTCTTGTTCCTCACCGTGCCAGGCCTTTTAAGTCAGCCCTTGTTACAATATGAGCTGGCTTTAGCCTGACGCTTGTTAACAGGATTCTGGGTATCTCCTTTGGAGTAGGAGTACAGAAACCTTTCACAGACAATTTAATCTTCTGAGCCTTGCAAACGTGCAGCTTTACACGGGGAGGGGGGTGGTATTGCAGTAGGCTATGTATTGATCAGTTCCATTTGCCCTGTAGCCGTGGCCTTCTGCTCTGGCTAAAATAAGGTTAGGTTTTGTTAATACTGCCATATTATTTTAATACACTTTAAAAAAATTAATTCCAAATACTTTTACATACGTCATCTATATTGCCAGTGCTGATTGCCTTCCGCACATGTAAAGTAAACTAGCTGGGCATAGTTCATGGCCTGTGCCTCTGCTGCTTAATGAAAAGGAAGGTTGCATTTAAACAGATACAAAACTGTTCTGCAACAGACTGCCCCTCAGAATGTACAGTCTCAGCCGTGAGCTTTAGTTCCCAGGTCACCCTTAAGTCTTGCTCTGTGAATAAATACTATTCAGTAATGACTTACAGAGGATCCCCAATATTAGGGGTCTAATAGATTTCACACTTATTGCTCCTCCAGTGGCACTTTATGGTGTTTTCCCTCTTTATCTTTGTTTTCAAGTCCTGCATAGTTGGAGTGTGTGGGATGATTTTTTTGAAGGGGGTGGGGAAGAGGTTGCTTGCCCCTGCATCATCTTTTAAACCACGTGTTTTATTTTTCACACACCAGCAGCTGATAAAGCAGTTTGGGTTCTTTATGTAAGAATCCTATTGCTGTGAGCATAACACTGTATTAAAGAGGGCTGACTTAACCTTCCTCACCAACATCAGAGGGAGGGAGATAGGGGGTGTCAGTGAGGAACCTTGAACCAATGTAAAAGTGTAGTGCCTTAGCCTGGAATTGCCCCAGCTTGCTGCACTCCCACAACATCTGCGTAAAGTTCCTGTTTCCATGTTACATCTTTGACATTGAGGTGGAATATTTACTTGAATATATGTAATTTGGCTGGACACAAATATAATTCATGAATAGTTACATTTATCTTCTAATTAGAAAATGAAACGATAGCACAGAAACTGCTGCAGCATTCCCCTCACAATATTTCTGATCAAAAGTGTTTGGGTGTGAGACCATTGCAGAAAAAAGGCTGGTGAGGTAGCAGGTTTGTGGTGCTAATTCACCTTTCATAACTGAATACACTATTTTTTGTTAAGAAAAATAAAGAACAGATAAATGGCACAGTGGTTAAATGTGGTCTTCTGGTCACTGTATGCTGGCAATCTGAGAATCGGAGCTGGTAATATGATGATGTACACTACTTGGCAATGTCCTAATATTAGAAAATTTTGGTCAAGTGTTGCAAATGTTACAGAAATAGTATGGAACAATATGTTTCCAGCTGAGTCAGAATTCTATTTGCTGTATGATTTTTCATCTATGCATGGGACAGCAAAGTCTTTTTTTTTTTTAAATAAACTGCAGTTGCCTTGATTGTTCAAATAGACTGATCCTTAGAAAATAAGGAAAACTCTCTTGTCCCTTCTTTTAAAAAAATGTCACGTTAACATGACCTGAGTTATTTTATATAAACATATTATACACAAGATAAATGAGGAAAATGAAGGCAATTCAGGTGAGGATAAGGGAAGAATGTATCTCTTCTCTAAAAGGAAGCACAAACTTCTCAGTTAGAGGAACGCAGGCTCAGGAGACATTTTGGAGAGGGGATGTAATAGTTAAGGACTTTGTTTTTGTAAAGTTTGTTGTTATGTGTTTTATTTTTAGGTGTTATTTTTGTCTCCTTTTAAAATCAAGACCTTTGTAAAAAAAGTTCAGAGGAAAATGATACAGGAGATAGTTTAAATAATTTAATCCTTTAATGTGGAGGCTTATTATTTTTAATACATATTTTTATTGAAATGTTTACATTTTGTAAAACAAAAATATCTCCCAATAAATAGCTTCAATCAATATAATGTTAAAAATGAATATACTTAAGAAAATAACAGAAGCGAAAATGTTTTATTTTAGGTTAAAACATTTTTATATAAATTGATAACATTATTGTATGAATTCAAGAGCGTGCAACATTCGGAGTCCAACAAGCCCTTTGTATCTGTGTTTACTAGCTGAATAGAAGCAGGAGGGGAATATGGAAGAGTTCGCAAAGAAACAAGTAATTAACATAAGAAGGAAAGTGGTTTTGATATGTTCGCACATCTATATGTCTGCTTATTTGGGCATCTTTCCTATTCAGCACATTATCCTAAAGTTATTAGTTTGGGTACTTTATGTTTCTGCATTGGGCGTAGTGATATCAGAGCCATTTAAATGCGTGATTTGCCTGTCGCCAGCATTTCCAAGGGACAGATCAAGAGCACATAAATGAGACCAAAATGTACTTTATGCAAGGTGTCCTGCTGTATTATTTTATGACTTGAAATTATTGAATGTAAACTTAAAAACACCCAATTGTTCCCCTCCCCCTAACTTTGAAGTATGCCGGGACTTTGTCAAATTCCCGTTAAAATAAAGATGTCAATTTCATCTTCCTTCCAAATTCATTTATCATGCTTTTTTAAAAGGTGTTTTCTGCTTTACCTGATGTTTAAATTGGATTCGCTCGTTTATGCTGTTCTTTGCTGTATCCCCCACGTTTTTCTTAAATGAATTAGTAATGACAGCGTACTCCATCATACCCTCTCTACAGCCACTTTAAGGGAAGCCTGGTGATCTAAACCTTTTAACCTATTAAAGATGATTTTCCCCAATTGAATCAGACCCACCACAGGTGTAATAACTAATCATTTAAACTACACCTGCTATTATGTATTTTTAAGCCATTATGTGTGTTGGATAGATGATAATTCATGTTTATTGCATTGTCCAATGGATCCGTTTTGCCTACACTAGCCTGATTAATGTATTTAAAGAAATAAGAGATGCAATTTAAAAAAAAACACATTGATGGAATGCACTGAGGAGTACATTGAAAGTGCCATTAAACCCATCAGAACTTTGCTCTCTGACCAGAAATGCATATTCCAATGGCTGGATTCAAAACCAAAGTGAAACTTGTTCATTTCAATAGTGATGCTCGATTTTTTTTCTGTCATGACATTTTTGAAAACATACTTAGATCTTAACTCCAGAAGCTGCATTGTGGCTTGCACATCTTAAGATGTGCAAATCCTTTTTCTCCTTTTTTTGCAGTCACTACAGCTTATTGGGAATGCAGATGCCAGCATTTGGGGGGAAAACCACACTTTTCTTCCTTGTACATGGAAGACTAGTTTCATCTAAGTGCAGGAATGGAGCAATCTCTCACTTCAGTATGGATGTGTCTGTCTCCTAAGTTAACTTCAAATAGGTTATCACCCTCTGTGCCACACCCAAAGCAAATGCCTTTTATAGAGGCAGATCAGATGGTTTTCCACAGTATAGTAGAATATACCTTGTATGGGGCTGGATGGCTTGGGGGGGGATTAATATTAGAATACAGAGATTTTCACTTAGTCCTGTGTGGTATGACCCATAGTAGTCACAGTGTAGTGACTGCTCAGCAGTCTGTGTGAAATGAGTTGCTGGGTCTCAGTTCTGTGGATTGCATCACAAGAACTATCACAACTCATACAAAATTGATCTCCTTGTTGATAATATCGGCAGAGACACAAAGAATTAAATAGGCTATGGAGAGTCAACTCCCCGCATATCCTTAATAGGGATTCCTACAGAACAGGCCTGAGGCACATAGAAGGCATATGTGGGGAGGCTTGCCTTGTTATACCTACCTTGTAGTTAGAGAGGAATCTAGCACTATCATTGGCACTTTAAGGAAATAAATTTGTATGTGTGCGCGCGCATGCGCACGCGCACGTGCACGTGTAAGTGCAAAAAGTATCATCCCAGTTCTTACACTCTGTGGAAGTATGTGTCTTTGACTTTATTGTGCTCTAGAAGATGAGCCTTTAAGTGACTTAAAACTTAAAGTTCTTTCACAAAAGCTGTATATAGCTTCTCTTGCTCTAGAGCATAAACATAACCACTTATCTGTCCAGTTGGGTCACTTCAAAAATAAAACTTAACCTTTATGTCTTTAATGTGATCCAGGACAAGGAAAATAACCTCTCACTTGCTGGTAGGAGGCTTGGGACCCTAATGGAGTTTGCTTTGTGCTAAGCAGTGTTTCAGCTTGGTAAAACATGTTCAAGGACAAACTTATCTACATCACAATATTAATACTGTACTATCTGAGTAGGGATGAGCTTGAGCCTCAAATTCTGCTCTGGATCCAATGATTCTCCAAAGTCAGATTGGAGTTCTGGTTCCAGCCCGTCACCATCTGCTGCTGGAGTTGATACCTGGGTGTTGTAATTTAGAATGTATTTAGAATCAGAATTTTGAATGTTCTTAACTCAGAGCTTTTCACTTTTCTGTTTCTCCAATCCTCTCACCCTAATCAGATCGCAACAGCAGTGAAGTTTCTACAGAACTCCCGGGTCCGTCAAAGTCCACTCGCAACCAGAAGAGCATTTCTCAAGAAGAAAGGTACATATTTATCATGCTAATTAATTAATGAGGAGGTCTGGGGGTGGAATGTAGGCCAGGAGCTATTACTGTGGAAAATTAGGTACTGAGGGTAAAAAAGATCGCTTGTCCCAAGAAATTTGTAGTGTGTGAGGTCAAGGCAGTTCCATTTTCTTCCCTGCAAGCCAGTAGTAATATAGGCAGGAGACACGGCATTACAGAATGAGAGACATTTTTGGAACTTTAGAATTAACTACCTTGAGAGATCTTCAGAAGCAAGGACAGTTTAGAGTTACAGGCTAGATGGTTGATTCTAACTTCTTAATGACATTGGCTTTAGAATGACCAGTTGTAGTTAAAAGGTCAGCTGCTTCAGAAGAGAGTTTGGGAGAGAGGAATGAAGGAAGAGGGACATGGTATAGAGTAAATAAGGTCAGGCTAAGGTCAAGTGTGGGGTCAGCCTGACTTTCAGCCTGAAATGGCATATTACTGACTGTGCATAGCCCTTTCCATGGTGGGAGCAGGAAGGATCCTGACAAATCCAATATTGACTCAAGCCAGTGGAACTTGCCTGATAAGTTTTTCCTTTTGATTATAAAGGAGGTAACTTTGTTGTCTTAAAACTTCAGAACATAAAAAGAAAAAAAAACAATTTAAGAATTTTGTAGCAGATTTCAGATGAAGTTTATTCCAGCGCAAATTGCCAAACCAAGAACCCTCCACATCACTTAAGTCCTTAATGTGGGACTTACGCACTAAAGAGGCTCATGCCCTAGAGTGAATTTTTTCCTTTAAAGAGTTTTAAAAAGTGTTTTAAGTGCTAGAGTGTGTATGAAAATTCAAACTCCAGAGTTGGAGGGGATGGGGACCCATTTTTACAGGAGGTATTGTGAATATTACAGTCTGATTTGAATTCTTTAGCCAAAGACATTGGCCTATGGAACATAAGAAACCCCAGAAATATATTAGCTGGATTGGAGATATGAATTGTTTAGTGAAATCCAGGAGATTTGATGGCATGGGATAATCTGCTTACAGGCGCCCTGCTCATCTTGGGGCAGAAAGCACTGAGGATGGAATGGTAGGGGTTGTCTTCTAACCGCTTTACCATCAACAATATAATTCAGGTACATCATGTGGAATTTGGTCCTTTCCCGCTGGCCCTAGTGTCAGATACAAAGCCTCCCAGCAAGAAGATGCAGCTCTGCTAGGTGCATTGTTTGCCCTGCTCTGCCATCAGGGTGGCATTGAATTTGCTAATATGGCAAAATTTGGAGTTGGTTGGTCACTCTGTTCTGTGAGTTTTTCCTTGAAATATGTGAACGTATGGGGAGTAATTAATCATAAAAGCTTGGGGATTTCAACTCTATCACAGAAGCAATGAAGCAGGGGAAAGCTGAGCCTAAAAGCTGTGCTGATTACCCGGGGTAACCTGATACAAAATCTATTGTTGCCGAGAGATTCTTAGCCCCCAGTATATTGTGCAATATTATAACCGCCTGATCTTCTCCTCTGCTGACAATGACCAGTTATTCCTCATTTTCTCTCTCAACGTAGCTGGGTTAGAATTTCATTTGCAGAAGGTATTTAGAGCAATTTAGAGACAAATGTCTCTGGTGTTTGCTCTGCACTTCCCCACCGCAGGCTTCGCTGAGCAGTTTTTAGTATCAGGAGCTCCATCTAATCTGTTTAATTTTAATAAATCCCTGACTGGGAGAAGAGGAGGGGTGGGGAGAAGGAGGCAAAGAGACACTGTGGCCCGACTAATACTTCTTGTGAATTACTTGGCTAATAATTATCAAAGAGCAGAAACTGTTTGGTAGAACTCTTTGTTCCTGTTTGTTAATTCCCTCCCTCCCCTTTGTGCTAATTGCTCATATGGCAACTTAACAGTAGGAGAAAGGAAGGAACAGAATCCAGCAGTGTCTGCATCCAGGAGTCATTGGGAACTTGATCATATGGGATCTGCCCACTTGGTCATATAAGGTTATCTTTGCTTGATGCTCCACATGTGCATCAGGCTAGTTGTGCCCTCAGGGGCAGGAAAAATATTGTCCTAACCATAGATGCAACTAGTTCAGTCTTGGGAATATGAAGGAGAATTAGCCTGGTTGAGTATTCAGTTCCATTTACACCCTGAGATTTACCCATTGGTATTCAAAGTAACTGTCTGGTGGTTTTCCTGAATTCTAGTAAAGCATATTCCACCAGAACTTCCTGGGGTGGAAATTTCAAGACTTATCCTTTCAAGTGAGCTTCTCCCCATGGCTGGCTTAGGGTGGCTGCATTATCCACCCATTGGCTACTGCCCGGGGCCAGCCTGAGGTAGCAAGGGCCACACTAGCTGTCAGCAGCTTCCGTGGGGGGAGGGGGAGGGAGAGAAGGACGTGCTGTCAGTCAGCAGCTGTTCTCTGGGGCAAACCCTGAATCTGCTTTAAGTTATAAGAGGAAGCTGCCTACCGAATTGGTGGTCCTAACTCTCTTACTGTTTAGGAAGAGTTCTTGAACAAATGGATAGACACACAGACAGACAAATGCACAAACTCTCTCAAATATATAGTCGATATTATTATTGCTCTACATATGTATAAAACATTTTTCCTGCCGGATGACAGAATGTTCCTGCCGGGCAACAGAATGACATCATTAATGTCATCAGCATCAACAGGCTGTCTAAGCAAAGTGAGAGTGGCTGGGGGGGTGGGGATGAGCGTAGCCCCCTAGTATCATATATAAACATTTCTCCAAACCCCATGTTAAAAAGAACTTTGTTCATCTCTCTAGGGAATAATACAGAGGCATCGTCTCTTGGTAGGATTTTGCAGTTGTAGCTGCCTCCAGGAGATTTTGCTGCAGAAAAGGGGGGTAGGATCACTGGTTTTCTGAGAGCTATAAGGAAAAAGGTACATACTGACAATGGGAGGCTCTCAGATGCCCCAGGCTAAAGGAAATGTAAAGGTAAAAGCACTGACAGCAGAGATACTCCTAGCTTTGCTTAGGAAATGCCACATGTGGGATTTGCAGTGAAACAAAGCCTTGAATTATAATCTTCACTTTTTAAAAATACTAATCTCTATCCCAAAAAGGAAAATCCATTTTTAAAGTATTATTTAATATAGAAATTGTGATCCCACAGGTGCATGGCCCTTCAGTTGCAAATGAAGGTTACTTTAGAATCCTCAGCTGGGTTGGGTTTGTTGTCATGTGAAATAGCAGCTGGATGGTAATGGCGGGAGGCTGCCCCTATTTCTGTCCAGTTAAGAGTTTGGGGGTCATATATTACAGGCCTGGGATAAGCAGCCTGATGATGATGGAGGGAGTGAGGAAAGTGTCCTGGATTTAAGATCTTTCAAAAGTTCAGTGAGATTTCTGCGCCGTCTTGAACACTTTGAAACTTTGTGAATACAGAGACGTTAATGAGAAACATGAAGTTATTAGAATCATTTATCATTTTCTTTGAAGCTACACTGGCATTTTGTGTAATTTATGACATTTCCTCCTTTTTATTGTGAACTTCTTCAGATGAAGAGGAAAAGCAGCTGTTTCCCTTCGGCGTATCTGAAAGAAAAAAAAAGATACTGTTTGTTTTTGGTCCAAGTAGCTGATTCTGCTGATGACACACCACCACAGTGGCGCCTGGGGAGTAAATAAACAGCATGTGGGGTTTAAACCCTGGTGGAAATGTGTCTGTTGTTGAGCTGTTGGGGCTCAGATGTCCACTGCTCAATTACCTTTCTAGTAGCACATGCAGGTTAGAATTGTGTTCTGAATGTGTGATGTGAGACTGCAGAGGGTGGATGGTTGAGTGGTGAGAGTGCTAACCTGTGACTTGGGAGCCAGGGTGGGCAATAACTTTGATGGGGGGGGCACTCCAAGATTTGGTAAGAGGACCAGGGCCACACTTCTGTGGAGGAGATGCAGAGTCTGGGATGAAGTTTGAGTGCAGAAAGGAGCTCAGGGTAGTGGAATGGGGTGTAGGAGAGGGTGTGGGGTTGAGAGGGAGTTTGGGTGAAGGAGGGGGTTGTAATCGGGGGCAATGGATCGGGGTGCAGCGTCTGGGAGGGGGTATGGGTGCAAGAGAAGATTCTGGACAAGGGGAAGGAAGTTGGAAGAAGTTCTGACCTGGGGGAGTGAGGTGCAGAGTGTTTGGGTGGTGACCTGAGGCAGAAAGGGGTGGTTACCTGGGGCAGGGAGTTGGGGTGCCAGAGACAAGTTCTGTTTAATTAGGTCGCTCCTGGCCAGCAGCCCCGCAGAACCCTGAGGCAACCTCCCTGCCTGCTGCAGCCCCAAGCTCAAAGCAGCTGGTTTTTCTATGTGGCTCTCTGTGCCGCATGTAAGGGTGGGGGAGGCTTTGTGTGCTGCCCCTACCCTCACCACAATCTATCAGCTCTCATTGGTCAGTCAAAGCCACATGGAGCAGCCAGCCGCTTTGAGCAGCTTGGCGCTGCTCCCTGCCAGAATGTCCTGGTGGGGCAGGCCACAGGCTGGATTAAAAGGCTTGGCAAGCCAGATCTTGCCTGCCCCTGCTCTGTCCAAATCCCTCCTCAGTCATAGACTTCCTATGAGACCTTGGGCAAGTTACATAGCTATTGTTCCCCATTTGCAAAATGACAGTCATTGGAGTAAGGAGAATACATTTTTTAAAGGGTGCAAGGTCCTTAGGTACCACAGTGATGGGGACCTTATACATTGAATTGCACCGAGGAAGAGCAAATCCAGATATTTGTGGGGTCAGAAACTCTCTTAGAAAACATATTACCTTGATTGGTGCTTTGTATGTTCATGTACACCTGAATCCCAATGGAGTCAAACTTCTGTTTGATGAGAGAAGCAGGAGGTCAGTGGAAAGCTTTGCCCTTCACACATTGGGTCTATTAATCTATTTCATTACCTTGGCTTGTAAGAAGCAAGTTAATACAGAAGCTTTTCTGCCGCTCTGTGGCCTGTGGGTCCCACACAGCTTTTGCACTGCAGTTCTAGTAAAGATGACAGACGTGGGAGGTGCTTGTCAGACTGGAGTG